AGCACCTTCCTTAAATCCATCTTCCACCTGACTCCCCTACTGTCCAGGATCTCTCACATATAAGGGCTGTCCTAGCCACCATGCTAAGCCTTCTGCCTGGGGATTGGCCAGGTTCCCTCAGATATTCAAATACAGACCTCCCCCCCCTCTTCTAGAAATGTCCAGCAGTTTCTAGAAGGTCTGACGTGTAGAGCCTCCCAGCCTGTTCTGAGGTAACCTCACTGCCTCACTCCCAGACTGACTCATCCCAGGCTTCTAATAAACCTCTGATTTAAAAAAAAAATCCTATCAAAAAAATGAAAAAAAAAAACAAACTTTGCTGCAGCAACATAGGGTGCCAATTCAATAGTGTCCATAAGGATATGTTCCCACTCCCCCAAAGGACACTACTGAATTGGCTCCTATGTTGAATTGATTTCGCTATGGTATAGATACATTGATGATGTTTATGATATGGGAGGGTTTGACTTTTGAGTTAAAATAATTTTTTGGATAAAATTGGTGTTAAAGACCTCCATCTAAAGTTTACTATGTCTTTTGACAGTAAAACAATTTCCTTTCTGGTTGTCTAGATTTATAAAAATGAAGATGGCATCTTACGTAGCGATCTTTATCACACGTCTACTGCAGGTAATACTATTTTATATGCTAAAAGCTTTCATCCAAGCTCTTTTATAAATTCCATTCCTTGTAGTCAATATTTATGCATTGAACGTAATTGCTCAGATGAGGAGTCCTTTGAGAAGGAAGAAGATAAGTTGAAGCAATGTCTTCTGGTAAGGGGATACTTCTCTACATGTCTCAAAAAGGCTTACAAAAAAGCATATAATAAATCTAGACAGACTTTACTCTATCAAATCACCAATAAAAGAAATAATAACCATATTTGAATAATAATAACATTTTTGAAACCAACATATGCAATTTAGAAAAAATTGTGCAAACATATTGGCATCTTTTTCACCATTGATCCTACGATCAATACATTTATATTTGAAATTCCCAATTTTACTTTCAACCAAGCCAAATCTGTTAGATATCATATGGTACATAGTGAATATAGATAACAAGGAAGCCAAGAGCCTTGTAAATATCAAGGTGTGTTCACATGCGGCAGATACAATTATTACCGCTACATGAATACCAACAAATCAGTCCTTTTACCCAATGAGTAAAGGTTTATGCCCAAACATTATGGGAATTTCAAAACAAAAAGGTGTAGTTTACCTGCTAACTTGTGAGTGCAATTGTTTCAATGTAGGAAAAATAAAATTGGAGTTTTGGTGTCAGGCCTATCGCAATATTTCCAGGATGAAATCCAACAATGTTGAGGTACCGTTGGGACACCATACAGCTAGCCTCCATGGGGGGATCTTTCCCAAGATTCAGTTTCTAAATTTTGGATAGAATCCATCCTAGTCCATGAGGAGGCGATTGGAAATAAGAGTTGGCTTCAGAGTGAGCTTAGATGGATCATAGACTAAATGCCACAATTTTTTTCCTGGCCTCAATGAATCCATGTCTTTCAATCCCTTTTTGGAAGGTAACGTTTCATTTCCCCCCTTTTTTTCTTTGTTACACCGCTGTCTTCTTGCTTCCCCAGTACGCAAAGGCCGCCATCCCAGGGTTTTCTGGGTTTTGGAGGCCTTTTTGACCCGGGGGATAGTGTGGCATTGATGCCATCAAAGAGAGGGTTGGTTGTCTTCCTTTTGAGCACTCATCTCTCTGAATCTTTTCTGTGCAGCGGCAGAGGCCTGACGCATGATGTCATTGTGTCGATCCCATGTGCAATAATGAGGTGCGCCTCATGACTGGGGAGTGGCCGCCGTGTACCACCAGGAGGCAAAAGGCCGCTCTTACCAGTTTAATTTGTAATGGACTGTGATCGGTGCAATTTCTAGCCATCTGTTTGCTTATAAAAGCTATTTTGTGGGTCCATAAGTTGCATATGCAGCCAGTGGACAGGTCGTTCATTTCCCTCTGACTTGGTAGGTTTCATTTTTGGATATTTTGTGATTGATTTAGTGGCATGTTTATATGCCATTGATCAAATTAACTATATGTGGATTTTTTTTATAGATTCAGCTATATCAGGGAACCCTCCTATGTTAATAGGACATTGACAACATACAATAATATGATACTGAGCATGATTTGCTACATCTCCACTCTCAGTAAGCATCTTTTCCTGTGTGTATCAGAGTGAAATTTTTTTTTCACTTTTTTGTGCACCATCACTTCATGTCCTATTATTCATTTTCCTTATTGCTCATTTATATATTTTCATAGAAATCATAATTTTGAACTGGGTATCCCTATCTGTTGCCCAGGCGGAGCCGTGAAGTGGCTTCTCTTGGAATCGAGTGGGGCTTTTCTCTTTACCTTTTTCCCCTTCTTACTTGTTTGGGAGGATCTTGGAAATATTGGCCACATCTATGTTCTTTTCAGTTTTAGCCACCTGGTGGTCTTTTCATGTTCTCTGCTCCTATGTTGGGTTATGTAAGTGATATTAATATACTTGTGATTGTAACTCCCAATGGAGATATTTGGAGATACGATTATAATTATTATATATCCATTGCAGGTACCATGCTGTTTTTAGGCACTTCTGAAGAAGAGATTATTTTTTCATCTCAAAACTTGCTTGCATGAATTGTTCTTCATTTTTCTCACCCATGCATTTATTGCAACAGATATATGTAATGTATTGCTGCCATTTCGTGTGTATTTATGTTCATTTTAACATTTTTTATAGATAAAATATGGTCTGTAGAAGTTTTTACTTATCAAATGACTCTATTGGTTTTGTCTGTGCCTTTAAAATCCCACAAAAAAGAGTGTTTTCCATACATGCTTTAATTGGGATGGCACTTCTTGTTATCACACCCATTGTTTCTCTAACCCACATGTCTGGACATTCCTGTTCTTTGAAATGTTCCAGGTGGAAGATTTTGTGTAAGGTAGAGTGGGGTTGACACTAGAGATGAGCGAATCGAAGTAGGCGAAGTGGAATTCGTTTCGAATATTAGAAAAATTTGCCGAATCCGAAAATAAGCAGACTTCGGATGCGCGAATCGAAATTTTTCCTAAAATGGCGGCGACATGTGCGGCGACGGAGCGGGGATGTCTGGGAAGGCGCGCAGACCCATAATGCATTCATTCATGACATGTGATCGCATTAGCCAATCAGCAGCCAGCCAGCCAGCACTGTGTAATGGTCGAGCTATAAATGGCGGCCATTTTAGAATTCTCCATTTGCCTCCAGTCATTCAACAGAGGCAGACCTGGCTGTATTCAGGGAGAGAGTTAGGGACACAGAAACGTTACTTAGGGGACTGTCAGGGCTCCCAGGTGTGACCAGAGTGTGTGTGGCTGACGCAGGGAAACGCAGACTTCAGATATGTGATAAACAATATAATTTATTAACACTAACAATACAAACATAAACGCAGTGCAATACTAAACATAATACAGTGCAAACAAACCAAACCAACCACCCACAGATAACAGTACATACAAGCAAGCGTCGTCAGGCAGGCCGGGTCAATATCAATTGGGCAGGTAGGTACAGGGGGGAGCAAGCGGAGATTGGTCGGGGTCACAGGCCAGGTTCAGCAGGTAGCTAGCAGCGTAGTACAGAGGGTCAGGCAGAGGGATGGTCAGGGTCACAAGCCAGGGATCAGAACAGGTAGCAGGCAGCGTAGTACAGAGGGTCAGGCAGAGGGATGGTCAGACAAGCCAGGGATCAGAACAGGTAGCAGAGAATCAGACAGGAACAGAGAGCAGGAACAGGATACAGGGCCCAAGAGAACACAACACCAAGGAAGAGTCTGCAAGTCTGGCCATCCCTTAAATACCCCAGCATAATCAGTTCCAGGTGTTAGCTGGCTGCAAAGTTGAGTCTCTGATTGCTGGGAGCATCCGCTGGCCAGCCCTGGTACTGCAGATCAAAAGGCAGGTGAGTCCCACCATTGCTGGCTAGTCCATTCCTGACAGTACCCCCCCCCCTCAAGGAGCGGCCTCAGGACGCTCCAAACAGTCCTAGCTGGGCAAAATGTTCCACCGCCCGGGTCTGGTAACTGGCGGGATATCAAAGACTGGCACACCGGGCAGGACTCCGGGCAGCGGCACACCGGGCAGGGGCACACCGGGCAGAGGCACATTGGGCAAAGGCACACCGGGCAGAGGCACATCGGGCAGGACTCCGGCAGAGGCACATCGGGCTGGACTCCGGGCAGAGGCACATCGGGCTGGACTCCGGTAGAGGCACACATCGGGCTGGACTCCGGGCAGAGGCACATCGGGCTGGACTCCGGGCAGAGGCACATCGGGCTGGACTCCGGGCAGAGGCACATCAAGCTGGACTCAGGGCAGAGGCACATCGGGCTGGACTCCGGGGCAGAGGCACATCGGGCTGGACTCCGGGCAGAGGCACATCGGGCAGGACTCCGGGCAGAGGCACATCGGGCAGGACTCCGGGCAGAGGCACATCGGGCAGGACTCCGGGCAGAGGCACATCGGGCAGGACTCCGGGCAGAGGCACATCGGATTACTAGGCGAAGCAGCAGGCAGCGGGCCACCGGGCGGAGCAGCAGGCACCGAGGGCCCCCGGGCGGGGCAGCAGGCACCGGGCCCCCGGGCGGGGCGACAGGCGTCGGGCCCCCAGGCGGGGCGACAGGCGTCGGGCCCTCAGGCGGGGCACCAGGCATCGGGCCCCCAGGCGGGGTGACAGGCATCGGGCCCACAGGAGGGGCGACAGGCATCGGGCCCCCAGGCGGGGCGACAGGCATCGGGCCCCCAGGCGGGGCGACAGGCATCGGGCCCTCAGGCGGGGCGGCGGGCGCTGGACCCCCCAGATGGAGCGACAGGTCTCGGGCCCCCAGGCGGAGCGGCGGGCGCCGGACCCCCAAGTGGAGCGACAGGTCTCGGGCCCTCAGGCGGAGCGGGCGGGCGCCGGACCCCAGGTGGAGCGACAGGTCTCGGGCCCCCAGGCGGAGCGACAGGTCTCGGGCCCCCAGGGGGAGCGGCGGGCGCCGGACCCCCAGATGGAGCGACAGGTCTCGGGCCCTCAGGCGGAGCGGCGGGCGCCCGGACCCCCAGGTGGAGCGACAGGTCTCGGGCCCCCAGGCGGAGCGACAGGTCTCGGGCCCTCAGGCGGAGCGGCGGGCGCCGGACCCCCAGATGGAGCGACAGGTCTCGGGCCCTCAGGCGGAGCGGCGGGCGCCGGACCCCCAGGTGGAGCGACAGGTCTCGGGCCCTCAGGCGGAGCGGCGGGCACCGGACCCCCAGGTGGATCTGACAGGTCTCGGGCCCTCAGGCGGAGCGGCGGGCGCCGGACCCCCAGGTGGAGCGACAGGTCTCGGGCCCCCAGGCGGTCGGAGCGACAGGTCTCGGGCCCCCAGGCGGAGCGGCGGCGCGCCGGACCCCCAGGTGGAGCGACAGGTCTCGGGCCCCCAGACGAAGCGGCGGGCACCGAGTCACCAGGCACGACAGTGGGCACCGAGTCGTCTGGCAAGACTGCGGGCACCGAGTCAACTGGCGGAACAGCGGGCATCGAGTCAACTGGCGGAACTGAGGGCACCGAGTCGTCTGGCAAGACTGCGGGCACCGAGTCGTCTGGCAAGACTGCGGGCATCGAGTCAACTGGCGGAACAGAGGGCACCGAGTCGTCTGGCAAGACTGCGGGCACCGAGTCAACTGGCGGAACAGCGGGCACCGAGTCAACTGGCGGAACAGCGGGCATCGAGTCAACTGGCGGAACTGCGGGCACCGAGTCAACTGGCGGAACTGCGGGCACCGAGTCGTCTGGCGGGACTGCGGGCACCGAGTCGTCTGGCAAAAGACTGCGGGGCACCGAGTCGTCTGGCAAGACTGCGGGCACCGAGTCAACTGGCGGAACAGCGGGCATCGAGTCAACTGGCGGAACAGCGGGCATCGAGTCGTCTGGCAAGACTGCGGGCACCGAGTCGTCGGTGGCAAGACTGCGGGCACCGAGCCGTCTGGCGGAACTGCGGGCACCGAGTCGTCTGGCGGGACTGCGGGCACCGAGTCGTCTGGCAAGAGACTGCGGGCACCGAGTCGTCTGGCAAGACTGCGGGCACCGAGTCAACTGGCGGAACAGCGGGCATCGAGTCAACTGGCGGAACAGCGGGCATCGAGTCGTCTGGCAAGACTGCGGGCATCGAGTCGTCTGGCAAGACTGCGGGCACCGAGTCGTCTGGCGGAACTGCGGGCACCGAGTCGTCTGGCTGGCAAGACTGCGGGCACCGAGTCGTCTGGCAAGACTGCGGGCACCAAGTCAACTGGCGGAACAGCGGGCATCGAGTCAACTGGCGGAACAGCGGGCATCGAGTCGTCTGGCAAGACTGCGGGCACCGAGTCGTCTCTGGCAAGACTGCGGGCACCGAGTCGTCTGGCAAGACTGCGGGCACCGAGTCGTCTGGGCGGAACTGCGGGCACCAAGTCGTCTGGCGGGACTGCGGGCACCGAGTCGTCTGGCAAGACTGCGGGCACCGAGTCGTCTGGCAAGACTGCGGGCACCGAGTCAACTGGCGGAACAGCGGGGGCATCGAGTCAACTGGCGGAACAGCGGGCATCGAGTCGTCTGGCAAGACTGCGGGCACCGAGTCGTCTGGCAAGACTGCGGGCACCGAGTCGTCTGGCGGAACTGCGGGCACCGAGTCGTCTGGCGGGACTGCGGGCACCGAGTCGTCTGGCAAGACTGCGGGCACCGAGTCGTCTGGCAAGACTGCGGGCACCGAGTCGTCTGGCAAGACTGCGGGCACCGAGTCAAACTGGCGGAACAGCGGGCATCGAGTCAACTCAACTGGCGGAACTGCGGCTGGGCACCGAGTCGTCTGGCAAGACTGCGGGCACCGAGTCGTCTGGCAAGACTGCGGGCATCGAGTCAACTGGCGGAACAGCGGGCACCGAGTCGTCTGGCAAGACTGCGGGCACCGAGTCAACTGGCGGAACAGCGGGCACCGAGTCAACTGGCGGAACAGCGGGCATCGAGTCAACTGGCGGAACTGCGGGCACCGAGTCGTCGTCTGGCGGAACACTGCGGGCACCGAGTCGTCTGGCGGGACTGCGGGCACCGAGTCGTCTGGCAAGACTGCGGGCACCGAGTCGTCTGGCAAGACTGCGGGCACGAGTCAACTGGCGGAACAGCGGGGCATCGAGTCAACTGGCGGCAACAGCGGGCATCCGTCGTCGTCTGGCAAGACTGCGGGCACCGAGTCGTCTGGCAAGACTGCGGGGGCACCGAGTCGTCTGGCAAGACTGCGGGCACCGAGTCGTCTGGCGGAAAGACTGCGGGCACCGAGTCGTCTGGCGGGACTGCGGGCACCGAGTCGTCTGGCAAGACTGCGGGCACCGAGTCGTCTGGCAAGACTGCGGGCACCGAGTCAACTGGCGGAACAGCGGGCATCGAGTCAACTGGCGGAACAGCGGGCACATCGAGTCGTCTGGCAAGACTGCGGGCACCGAGTCAACTCTGGCAAGACTGCGGGCACCGAGTCGTCTGGCGGAACAGCGGGCACATCGAGTCGTCTGGCAAGACTGCGCGGGCACCGAGTCGTCTGGCAAGACTGCGGGCACCGAGTCGTCTGGCAAGACTGCGGGCACCGAGTCAACTGGCGGAACAGCGGGCATCGAGTCAACTGGCGGAACAGCGGGCATCGAGTCGTCTGGCAAGACTGCGGGCACCGAGTCGTCTGGCAAGACTGCGGGCACCGAGTCGTCTGGCGGAACTGCGGGCACCGAGTCGTCTGGCGGGACTGCGGGCACCGAGTCGTCTGGCAAGACTGCGGGCACCGAGTCGTCTGGCAAGAACTGCGGGCACCGAGTCGTCTGGCAAGACTGCGGGCACCGAGTCAACTGGCGGAAACAGCGGGCATCGAGTCAACTGGCGGAACTGAGGGCACCGAGTCATCTGGCAAGACTGCGGGGCACCGAGTCGTCTGGCAAGACTGCGGGCATCCGAGTCAACTGGCGGAACTGCGGGCACCGAGTCGTCTGGCAAGACTGCGGGCACCGAGTCGTCTGGCAACAGACGGGGCACCGAGTCAACTGGCGGAACAGCGGGCATCGAGTCAACTGGCGGAACTGCGGGCACCGAGTCGTCAACTGGCGGAACTGCGGGCACCGAGTCGTCTGGCAAGACTGCGGGCACCGAGTCGTCTGGCAAGACTGCGGGCACCGAGTCGTCTGGCAAGACTGCGGGCACCGAGTCAACTGGCGGAACAGCGGGCATCGAGTCAACTGGCGGAACAGCGGGCACGAGTCGTCTGGCAAGACTGCGGGCACCGAGTCGTCTGGCAAGACTGCGGGCACCGAGTCGTCTGGCAAGACTGCGGGCACCGAGTCGTCTGGCGGAACTGCGGGCACCGAGTCGTCTGGCGGCAGACTGCGGGCACCGAGTCTCGTCTGGCAAGACTGCGGGCACCGAGTCGTCTGGCAAGACTGCGGGCACCGAGTCAACTGGCGGAACAGCGGGCATCGAGTCAACTGGCGGAACAGCGGGCATCGAGTCGTCTGGCAAGAACAGCGGGCACCGAGTCGTCTGGCAAGACTGCGGGCACCGAGTCGTCTGGCGGAACTGCGGGCACCGAGTCGTCTGGCAAGACTGCGGGCACCGAGTCGTCTGGCAAGACTGCTGCGGGCACCAAGTCAACTGGCGGAACAGCGGGCATCGAGTCAACTGGCGGAACAGCGGGCATCGAGTCGTCTGGCAAGACTGCGGGCACCGAGTCGTCTGGCAAGACTGCGGGCACCGAGTCGTCTGGCAAGACTGCGGGCACCGAGTCGTCTGGCGGAACTGCGGGCACCGAGTCGTCTGGCGGGACTGCGGGCACCGAGTCGTCTGGCAAGACTGCGGGCACCGAGTCGTCTGGCAAGACTGCGGGCACCGAGTCAACTGGCGGAACAGCGGGGGCATCGAGTCAACTGGCGGACTGCGGGCATCGAGTCGTCTGGCAAGACTGCGGGCACCGAGTCGTCTGGCAAGACTGCGGGCACCGAGTCGTCTGGCAAGGACTGCGGGCACCGAGTCGTCTGGGACTGCGGGCACCGAGTCGTCTGGCAAGACTGCGGGCACCGAGTCGTCTGGCAAGACTGCGGGCACCGAGTCGTCTGGCAAGACTGCGGGCACCGAGTCGTCTGGCAAGACTGCGGGCACCGAGTCGTCTGGCAAGACTGCGGGCATCGAGTCAACTGGCGGCAAGACTGCGGGCACCGAGTCGTCTGGCAAGACTGCGGGCACCGAGTCGTGTCTGGCAAGACTGCGGGCACCGAGTCAACTGGCGGAACAGTGGCATCGAGTCAACTGGCGGAACTGCGGGCACCGAGTCAACTGGCGGGAAGACTGCGGGCACCGAGTCGTCTGGCAAGACTGCGGGCACCGAGTTGTCTGGCAAGACTGCGGGCACCGAGTCGTCTGGCAAGACTGCGGGCACCGAGTCAACTGGCGGAACAGCGGGCATCGAGTCAACTGGCGGAACAGCGGGCATCGAGTCGTCTGGCAAGACTGCGGGCACCGAGTCGTCTGGCAAGACTGCGGGCACCGAGTCGTCTGGCAAGACTGCGGGCACCGAGTCGTCTGGCAAGACTGCGGGGCACCGAGTCAACTGGCAAGACTGCGGGCAAACACCGAGTCAAACTGGCGGAACAGCGGGCACCGAGTCGTCTGGCAAGACAGTGGGCTCCGAGTCAACAGGCACGACAGTGGGCACCGGGTCATCTGGCAAGATATCGGATTGTCTGGCTCGACAGCGGGCATCGGGTCACCAGGTATGACAGCGGGCACTGGGTCACCAGGCATCAGGTCATTTGGCTTGCCAGCGGGCACCGCGTCATCTGGCAAGGCAGTGGGCACCGGGTCACCAGGTATGACAGCGGGCTCTGAGTCAATTGGCACGACAGCGGGCACTGGATCAGGTACCGGATCATCTGGATCAACAGCGGGCATCGAGTCAACTGGCCTAATAGGATCATCAGGGCTGGATCAGTTCATCATGCTGGGTAGAGCATCGGCTGAGTAGAGGCTGGCTGAGTAGAGGCTTCAGGCTGAGTAGAGGCTTCAGGCTGAGTAGAGGCTTCAGGCTGAGTAGAGGCATCAGGCTGAGTAGAGGCATCAGGCTGAGTAGAGGCTTCAGGCTGAGTAGAGGCTTCAGGCTGAGTACAGGCATCAGGCTGAGTAGAGGCATCAGGCTGAGTAGAGGCATCAGGCTGAAGAGAGGGCATCAGGCTGAACCACGGAAGGCAGGTTCTCAGACGGTAGGCTCACCGGTTTGGATACTGGCAGGATGGTACTGGTTGGAAAGAATTTTCGCTTTTTTCTGGTTTTAACTACTGGGGCACTGCAAGTAAACGCAGGTCTGCAAATGAATGGAGCAGCTGGAGACAGAGAAGAGCTGGAGGATGGAACAGGGGAAGGAAGCAGTCGCTACAGAGGGCTTCTTTACAGGGTTAAAGGCAGGATAGGTGCAGCGAGTGGGAACAGGGTACTGACATGCGGTAGATAGCCAAGTATACTGGGCTGTAACTGGAGGAGCTGTTGGGAAATACAGGAGTAGAGCTTTGAGGAGATAGATTAGAAGCAGGACTGGGTCTTTGTAAGCTGACTGAGGCTGGGTGTAACAATTCTGTCCATGTCTGCAGTATGGGTTGAACAAAGCTGAGCTTACACACAAAGCCTGTCTGACCAAAGACTGCACTGCGTTTATACAATCTCTTAGTACCTGTGGTGAACATGTGGAATAACGCTCCAGAAAGTAACCCACATCATCCTCTAATAACCATACCAGGGACTCTACCTGGTCTGCACTAAATGGTGGCAAAAATTCATCCCTGCATTCGGGGGAACCAGATGAAACCAACTCAGCACAAACCTCAATCAATAGCTGCACCTCAGAGAACTCTGTGCCCTGATCTACTAGAACATGAGCGAGCCGTATACATTCTAGCAGTTCATCCCGGGTATACTCCTTCAGAGTTTGATAAGCATACTCCCTGTCATCAAACACTAGCAGATATAAATACGCAACCTCATCCAGATCCATCCTTCCCATCAACAAACAAGATGGCTTCCCTGTGCAGCCACTTCTGGTCAGGATTGGCCTTGGTGTAATGTCAGGGCTCCCGGTATGACCAGAGGTATGTGACTGACGCAGGGAAACGCAGACTTCCGATAAGTTATAAACAATTTATTAACACTAACAATACAAACATAAACGCAGTGCAATACTAAAACATAACACAGTGCAAACGAACCAAACCAAACCACCCACAGATAACAGTACATACAGTGCAAGCGTCGTCAGGCAGGCCGGGCCAATATCAATCGGGCAGATAGGTACAGGGGGAGCAAGCGGAGAATAGTCAGGTCACGAGCAGGGTACAGCAACTAACAGGCAGGTAGGTACAGGGGGTCAGGCAGAGAATGGTCAGGGTCACAAGCCAGGGATCAGAACAGGAGAAGTCAGTAGAGGTCAGAATCAAGCCGGGTCAGCAACAAGACAGGAACAGGAACAGGAGGAGCAGGAGCAGGAGCAGGAGCAGGATGCAGGAACAAGATACAGGGCCCAGGAAAAACACAACACCAAGGCAGAGTCTGCAGGTCTGAATGTCCCTTAAATACACCAGTATAATTAGTTCCAGGTGTTTGACTGGCTGCAAGGTTGAGTCTCTGATTGCTGGGAGCACCCGCTGGCCAGCCCTGGTACTGCAGCTCACAAGGCAGATGAGTCCCACTATTGCTGGCCAGTCCATTCCTGACATTGGGTGTTCATAATGGAAGCCCAATCCAGTTCAGAGGCGAACCCCTTACCTTATTCCCAATTTTGCTGGTGATGTGACAGTTACACGTTCTGGTCTACCTTGCACTTTATATTATTTATGCCTGATGTTGTATCTATTGTCTTTTGATGGCTTGTGGCCTTTGAAAAAGTTACCCTTTATAGATATGTATGTTTCCATTTTATTTTACAGCTCTGTGAATGTGGTATAGTTTGAATAAAGAATTTTAAAAAAAAAAATCAAGCACCTAGGCTTGCAGACTGTTTCTACAAACATTTGTGAAAGAATGGGTCGCTCTCAGGAGCTCAGTGAATTCAAGCTTGGTACCGTGATAGGTTGCCACCTGTGCAATAAGTCCATCCATGAAATGTCCTTGCTATTAAATATTCCACAGTCAACTGTTAGTGGTATTGTAACAAAGTGGAAGCAACTGGAAATAACAGCAACTCATCCACGAAGTGGCAGGCCACGTAAAATTACAGAGCGGGGTCAGCGCATGCTGAAGCACACAGTGCTTAGAAGTCGCCAACTGTCTGCAGAGACAATAGCTAAGGACCTCCAAACTTCATGTGGCCTTCAAATTAGCACAACAACAGTGCATAAAAAGCTTCATGAAATGGGTTTCCGTGGTGGAGCAGCTGCATCCAAGCCTTACATCACCAAGTGCAATGCAAAGAGGTGGATGCAGTTGCGTAAAGCATGCCACCACTGGACTCTAGAATAGTGGAGATATGTTCTCTGGATCAACGAATCACACTTCTCTGTCTGGCAATCCAATGGACGTGTCTGGGTTTGGCGGTTGCCAGGAGAACAGTACTTGCCTGACTGCATTGTGCCAAGTGTGTAAGTTTGTTGGAGGGGAGATTATGGTATGGGGTTGTTTTTCAGGGGTTGGGCTTGACCCCTTAGTTCCAGTGAAGGGAACTCTTAAGGCTTCAGCATACCAAGACAATTGGACAATTTCATGCTCCCAACTTTGTGGGAACAGTTTGGGGATGGCCCCTTCTTGTTCCAACATGACTGCACACCAGTGCACAAAGAAAGGTCCATAAGGTCATGGATGAGCAAGTTTGGGGTGAAGGAACTTGACTGGCCTGCACCTGACCTAAACTCGATAGAACACATTTGGGATGAATTAGAGTGAAGACTTCAAGTCAGGCCTTCTCGTCCGACATCAGTGCCTGACCTCACAAATGCGTTTCTGGAAGAATGGTCAAACATTCCCATAGACACTCCTAAACCTTGTGCACAGCCTTTCTGGAAGAATTGAAGCTGTTATAGCTGCAAAGGGTGGACCAACTGAATATTGAAACCTACAGACTAAGACTGGGATGCAATTAAATTTTATGTACGTGTAAAGGCAGGTGCCCCAATGCTTTTGGCAATACAGTGTATATTTGCTATTAACAGATTTTCTAGGCCCTGATATCTGATGCTCCGGCCCCAAATGTCCTGCTTAGTGCTCCAATTCGTGAATGGTCTACAAAGATGTACAATAAAGCTACTGTAACTCTAGGCAGGTATAAAAGTCATAGGTTAATGCATCTTTGTAATCATGAAAATATAATTAAACACATTTTTTAACTGCAAGCACCTGAATCTGTTCTAGTGTCAGCTTTTTACGAACCCTGTACAGCAAAGCTGTAGTCTGAGAGAAAGAAGCAGTACAAGCAGACAATCAGTTCATGTGCTGACAAGAGGCATACTGATAGGAGGAGAAATCAGAGTGACAGAGATTAGCTCATCACTGTACTGCTTCTCTTTTTACTGTCTAGCTCCAGTTCTAGTACAAACAAGTGGCAACCACTCCAATCTATAACTACATAGCCTTTGCAGTATGGTGCACATGGTAGGATGATGCAGATCACAACAACAATTCGAAAATTACCAGCACACTTACCAGCTAGACTGCAAAACAAAACAACAAAAAAAATTGTCCATGTCTGATAGTTCAAGTTAAAAACAGAGGGTTTTGTTAGCACACATTTGCGAATATATTTGTAAGTGCACAAATCAAGGATCCTCTTTGTACTGCAGTCCTAACTGTATAGTTTTGAGAGTCTCCAAGTTGGAGCATACATAGCAGTGGACAAATTAAGGGCAAGTTTGCTTGGAGGGAGCCCACCCCTCCTTAAAGGCCCAGGGATGCATGGGATGCTCAGCAAGAGCACAATGGCAGTTGAAGGCATCCAGTGCATCCCCACATCACATTCAACCAACTGTATAAACAAGTGGCAGCCATCCCAATCTTTTACTATCCTTTGCAGTAAGATGCATATGGAAGGGCAATGCACATCACAAACAAAAAAGTCCCAGCACACTTACCAGCTAGCCTGCAAAAAAGCCAACAAAACCCCAAAATTGTCCGTGTCAGACAGTTCCCATTAAGAAACAGAGGGTTTCATTTGCACACATTTGCAAATATATGTGCATGCTGCAGTCCCTATGTCAAGGTTCCCAGTTCTTACCAGCCTGGTGACTTCACATGTCATTCTTCTTTTTTCAACAGTGACAAGGGGTGGAACTTCCTGATGCATTGAGCAGTACATATATAATGATGTATGGGCACCATTAAGTCATGGAGTATTGTAAGTCTAGCTTGCATGATGACACACCCAAACGGAGCTTTAATTGACAAGCTGAACTGATAGGAAATGGTTTGAATGACACTGACTTTTATTCAACCCAGAGAGGACCAGTGGTACCACCAGTGGTGGAAAAATACGGGGACAGTGCTGGATTGAGAACAGAATAAATAGAATTTGCCCACATTTTTTTCACAGGAAGAGGAATTGGAAAATGTAACAGAAAAAGGGATTTCCACTTTAAGCATTTGAGTAAATGGCAAAGTGTTTAGATAGCCTGCCAGAGGTCAGGCATTTTTCAAACTAATGGGTTTCTGACCCTACAGGGAAAGAGGTATTGACCCAACAGCTCAAAAAAACACCTTTTTATCACACACAAACTAGGACATCATGGTTACTAGTTTTATCCCATTATTTGATTATTTAACCTGCTTCCATCCATGGCATTCTGGAGTTTTTTTTAGAGCTGTCAGAATTGTGCACTACAGAAGAAGCGTAGCAATGCCCACCCCCTGCTAGCATTCTGGAAGTTGTTAACTAAAACAGAAATAGGCATTGAGATACAGTAGATATACTACTTTCAGGCTAAACATACCTTT